GTCTGAATAGAGACTGGTGGAATCCCTGACACTATGTCCTTAGACAACCGTTAAGCCTCAAACTGAACTCTCCCTCTTGGCTCAACTTTCAGCAAAACAAAAGACAGGCCTATAAGGTGAACAGTAACACCAGGAAAGTATGCACTCCTTATGACTACCAATCATACAAGATCAAAAGATCAACATTTGCCCAGGGAAAAAATTCAGAAGCCAAGAAGGGATAGGAGAGAAGGACTAATAGAAACCAGAAACACAGGGAAGAAGTGGGAAGAGTCCTATTCTATTGTTGGAATTGCAATCATTACCATAAATAAAAATGTATATGAATTGTTAAAGGAGTTCTGCTAGCATAGTGCCTAAGGCACTTGACTGCTAACCAGAAGGCTGGTGGTTCAAACACACCAGCCACTCCTCAGAAGGAAGGTTGGGCAATCTATTCTGTAGTGATACTGCCTCGGAAACCCAAGGAGGGGTCACTATGAGTCGGGTCCGACTCAACGGCACATAACAATAAATGAATTGTTAAATAGAAAACTACACTGCTCTGTAAACTTTCACCTAAATCATAATAAAATGTTTGAAAATTAATAAAATCACGAGAAACAAATAAATGCATCACATTAAATGTTGTAACCATTTGAACATCTAAATACACCTTAAAAAATAAACAAATTAAAATTTTATTCACTTCGATCCATCTCTAAATTCAAATGATTCTATTTTACTTTTCTTTGTCATTAATGCTCTTTTCAAAACTGATATTAAGAGTTGCATATCTGTGTATGAACAGATATTTGTATTTCTAAACACGCAATCTCATTTTTTTTTAAACACAAACTCACATTTGCTAGATTATTTAAAACAAAAATATATTATGGACAAACCATGGATTTTATTATCAAAGACTGCCCCCTACAGACATTTCAGTCCCCTGACTCAAGCAAGGCTAAAAGAAACAAGCATGAGTAAGGATCAGAAACAGAGGATCAACCTTCATAATCCTAACATAGAAAAAAGCCACTCTTATTCAGAAAGTGCTCACTCTAAGGCTCATTTTGAAATAAAACTAATGCAACGTGATATGCATCAGTTGTTACTTTCCTTGAGTTTTTTTAAGAAATCTTTCACTTGGAAGTAAACTTCAGAGAAAGACAAACACTATACTCCTGGAGAGTGAAAGTATGGGTATAGGGCTTTACTTTATACTTCACGCACATCAGAGTTAAATAACTTTCTGCAGATAAAATAAAGCCTTTAAAAGACAATAAAGAAGAATCTTTACAACCTTGGGATATAAAGGAATTTCTTTAAAAAGAAAAAAATAATTATCTTTAAAATAAATTTTAATTGAAAAGAATAACAAATTAACTATAATAAAACTAAAATCTACTATCTACCAACCAATAGCATTACGAAAATGAAAAGACTAGTTAGAACTGGGAGAAGATATCTGCAATACATATAACTGATAACGACTATCTTAAAAGCACTTGCAAATGAATACAAAAAAGAGAAAACAATAGCAAAATGGAGTACACTGGGATTTAATTGACTGGAAATGTTTATTTTTTATATGTTATAATATTCTTTTCTAATAGTCATTACTTACTGAACATAATTTTTGAACACAAAATTTCACCATAAGAAGAAAGAGAACGGACTTCCGGTAAGATGGAGGAATAGGCAGACAAGCAACATAGACCCTCTTCAACAAAGAAAAGAAAAACCAATTGACAGAGATACAGAAGATAATCCTGGAACCCTGAGCTTTAAAAGGAACTATATAGAAGTGGATTAGGCACCAATTAGTGGAAAAATCTGAACGAAAACAGCGAGTACAGAGACAGTCGGAGCTGAGGACTGTCAGCTACTCTGATGAGACCAACAGCCTGAATATTTCCAAGTAATGTTGGGACCTGAGAATTGACCTAAAGATCACTCCCGGTCACTAAGGGCTACCAGGACAACTGCTCTGGTGGCCTGTGACTAGGAAGGGAAACAGCAAGGAGGGAGACAACCTGAGCTGTGGAGTTTCTGCTGTCCAGAAGGTGCAGCCATTTTGGTTGTTTACACATGGCAGCCATTTTGAATGTTTACAAGCAGTGGCCATTTTGGATATTTAAAGTGACCGAGGACACAGCTATTTTGAATGTTTACAAGTGGCAACCATTTTGGATTTTAAAGCGATAGCATTCTCATTCAGATTCCAGGGACCTAAGAACAGGCTCTATTTGCCAGGGTTGGCAAGGACATACGAGAGGCTGACAACAGGAAAGGAGACAGGTGGTGAGTGTATAAGTGCTGTCAACTAGTGAATAGAGGAGCATAGCACAGTACTCTGCCTGTTTAGATAACATACAAACAAAACAAAACGAAAATTGTGGGCAAGTCACTCCAACATATAATCACCAATTAAATATAAACACAAAAACATCACAATGCCTCGGAGGCAACAGAGCATCACAGTCCACACAAAGAAGCAAGATAAATCAGGAGAAACAAGGAACCAGGATACAGATCCAAAACACATCCCTGAGGAAGACACTGCATCCCTGAGGAACTCCCTGATAAGGAATTCAAAAGAATTATATTTAGGAACCTTAAAAGGATTGAGAGACAGACCAAGGAAAACACAGAAAAAATCCTAGAAGAATTATGGAAGAAAATACAAGAACAAAATGACAAGATAAATGAAAAATTAGAAATGATTCTAAATCTACAAATAGAAATCCAGAAGATTAATATGAAATTGTCAGAAACAGATAACACATTGAAAGGGCAAAGGAGTAGAACTGATGCAATGGAAGGCAGAATTAATGAGATTGAAGACTAATACCTGAATACTTCTTTGGAAAGAGATCAATCAGAAAAAAGACCAAAACAAAATCAAGAAAGCCTAAGGTTCATGTGGGATACCATCAAAAGGAATAACCTACGTGTCATTGGAATTCCAGAACAGGAAGAGAAAAAGAAAACCACCGAGAAAACTGTCCAAGATTTGTTGGAGGAGAACTTCCCTGATATGATGAAAGATGAGAATATATCCACTCAGGAAGTCCAACGAACCCCAAACAGGATAGGCCCCAAAAGAAAAACACCAAGACATATCATCATCAAACTCACCAAAACCAAAGACAAAGAAAGAATCATGAGAGCAGCACAGGAAAAACAAAAAGTTACCTACAGGGGCAACCAATAAGACTAAGCTTGGATTTCTCGACAGAAACCATGCAGGAAAGAAGAGAGTGGGATGGTATATATAAAACACTGAAAGAGAAAAATTTCCAACCAAGAGTTATGTTCCGAGCAAAACTGTCCTTCAAATATGATGGTGAAATTAGGACATTTCCAGATAAGCAGAAATTAAGGGAATTTGTTAAAACCAGACCAACCTTACAAGAGATGCTCAAAGGAGCCCTTCGGACAGAGAAGCAACAACAACCCACAACAACTGACCATTAACACACATGATGATATAACCCAGAAACCAACCCAGCTATGGAAGTATCCAAAGTAATAAGCCTACAAGATTGTAAACAGAGAACCAGAGACACCAACCAACAAATCAGGACAACTACAAACCAAAAAGAGGGAAAAAATTGTGTCATTACAAAACTTCTACGTGGTAGGGAAGTCAAGACAACTGTAAGATGGAATGGACTGTTCTAAACTTGACAAGAAAACTATAAATTACAGGGTAACCTCAAAGAAAAATGATAAACCTTCACATCAAAATCAAAAAGAGGAACAGCATAAATATTCAGCAAATACTAAAACAATTGCAATGAAGGAAGTGATAACATGATTCACAAACAAAACAAGCTCAGCATAGAAAACTATATGGAAGAAATCGATACAATGAAAAAGCACATGACAAAAATGACAGCCACAAATTCCTATTTGCTGATAATTACTTATCTGGCAAGGGACTTCTCTAAGTTTGATGGAAAACTCCAACACCTCAACATCAAAGTAATTAACAACCCAACTGAAAAATGGGCAGAAGACATGAATAGACACTACACCAAAGAGGATATTCAGGTGGTCAGCTAATAAATGAAAAGATGCTCACAATCACTGGCCATCAGAGAGATGTAAATCAAAATAACAATGAGATATATTGTCTCACCCCAGCACTGATGGCAAGGTTCAATGAGACAGAAAATAACAAATGCTATGTGGGAGCTCTGGTAGCATAGTGGCTAAGACACTTGCCTGCTAACCAGACGGCTGGCGGTTCAAACCCACCAGGAAGGAAGGTTGGGCAATCCTACTTCCGTAGTGATACTGCCTCGGAAACCCAAGGAGGGGTCGCTATGAGTTGGGTTTGACTCAACGGCACGTAACAACAACAGTGGGGATGTGGAGAGATTTGGACTCTCATACACCACTTGTATGACAACCACTGTGGAAAGCAATATGGCAATTCCTTAGAAAGTTGGAATTGGAGATACCATTTGACCCAGCAATCCTATTACTAGGTATACATCCTAGGGAGGTGAGAGGCAGGATAGGAACAGATATATGCATGCTTGTGTTCATCACAGCACTATTTACAATAGCAAAAGATGGAAACAACCTACGTGCCCATCAGCAGAAGACTGGATGACCACACTATGATACATACACATACTGGAATGCTATGCAGCACTAAATAAGGTAGAGTCTGCAAAATACCACATAATATGGATGAACCTAGAGGACATTATGCTGAGTGAAATAAGTCAATCACAGAAGGACAAATATAGTATTAGTTTGTTGATGTGGAGGGTCAAAGAAGGGTTTATATATGGAGGGAAACTTTCTTTGTTGGTTGCCAGGGGCTGGAGGGGAGGGGAGGGAACACTGAAAAAAAAAAAATTGTATTGACCCATGTCACTTTAGTTTTGTGTATTTCACTGTACATAAATTATATTTCAATAAAATGCATTTTTTAAAAAAAGAAAAAGAAAAAAAGAGAGCAAGGGGGGGCCCTCTACCTCTTTCAGTAAAGCCAGTACCTTTCATATTGGGTTTCATGTAAGATAGCAGATTGAGTGCCCCTGGATTCTCAAGCAGTGTCCTGGCTGCTCCTTCTAATCCCAGTTGTTTTGCTCTTTGGGCTTTGGTGCCTTTGCTCCCAGTTTTATATGGGGCAGACTAGAAAGAAAGGTCAGAAAACACACTACAACATTCAGTTTTAAAAATTAAAAGTTAAAATTATAATACAAAATTACAAGACATGTTGTGAATGCTAAGGCATGCTTTTCTCAACCATATCTTCTTCCTTCAGAAATTTCTGGTAGCATAGGGCCTAAGGCATTTGACTACTAACCAGAAGTCTGGCGGTTCAAACCCACCAGCCACTGCTCAGAAGGAAGACAAGGCAATCTACTTCTGTAGTGATACCACCTTGGAAACCCAAGGAGGTGTCGCTATGAGCAAAAATCGACTCAATGGCAGTGAGTTTGGTTTGTTTTTGTTCTTAACAGTTGTTGTGTTTTTAGTTGCTAATTAGATTTTAAAAAAAAAAAAAAAAGCTCTTACTGTAACACGGATGTTCCTTATCTTATCTTTTATAATTTTCTATATGCTTAAAATTAATTATTTGCTTGGTTTCCCTCATCTTAAAAACCCACTGCCTGGACTGCAAAGCTCAGACCTCCCTTCAACCAAACTCATCTAAAAGCAGTCAACACTCAATGCCTCCACTTAACCTACATTTAATCCTCAACACACTGCCATCTATTCCACATATATTGCTGAAAGTGCTATCACAAAGATGATCCACTAACTACCAAATATACATTTTCCAAGCCTTATCTTACCAAAAGGAGCTCTAGTGGTACAGTGGTTAAAGCATTCAGGTGCTAACTACAAGGTCAGTGGTTTAAACCCACCGGTTTTTCCATGGGAGAAAGATGAGGCAGCCTGCTTCCATAAAGATTTACAGCTTTGGAAACCCTATGAGACAGTTCTATTCTGTCCTATAGGTTGGTGAGGAGCAGAATCAATTCAATGACAGTGGGTTTGGTTCCAGTTTTTACCTTACCAAACCTCAATGCTGCATTTAATTATCTAATGAATGACCATTAGCCAGAAGCTGTGGAGCTGACTGCAACTCATGGTTACTCCATGTGTATCAGAGTAAAACTATGCTCCACGGGGTGTTCATCAGTTGAACTAAATCACCAGGCCTTTCTTGAAAGTCCTCTGGATAGACTTAAATCTCCATGTTAGCAATTTTCAAAACCCAAACGCCTTCTTCTGAAACTCTCCCTCTAGCTTTCCAAAGTAACATCATCACCTTATTCTCCTCATACTTCTCTCCCCATTCTATGTTTCCTTCTTAGGCCTATCCTTCCTCTGCTCATACTTCAAAAGGTGGTGTTCTCCAATGGTCTATCCTAACCGGCTCACCTACAAACTCCATGAGTGAGTTCCTTCATTTTCATGGTTTCAAACACTAACGACATGCTAAACATGTCCACACCTAGGTCTCCAGCTAGTCCTCTCCATATGCTTCCCACTTGTATAACCTACTTTTCCCTATTCAACTGGGAATTGCCTGAAAACAAGAACTATGTATTATTCACCTTTGTAAACGTACAACAAAAAAAGCACAAAAGAAGTATGTATTTAATAAAGAATATTTTGTTGAATTAAATAATTATAACTGATAATTACAGATTTTTATTTCCAAGTCTTCTTTAACTATGAAAAGACCCAAACCATAATATATTCAAATATTATATTAAAAGATTAAAAAAAAGGGTTCTTTACCACATGTTCTACTTCTTCAAAAGTTTTACAGTTCAGCAAGGCGTTTAACAGGCACTCAGACATCTTCCCATCCTTCTTAATTTTCTGGATGGTACTATGAACTTTTTTTGCAACAGCCCTGAAAAAGAAAAATTTATAATATATATAAGATCAATATGTCAAAACTTTCTTTTTGAAACTATCTCAAACTTAGAGAAAGTTGCAGGTTAAGTAAAAAGAACTTTTTCTTTCTCTGAATCATTTGAGAATAAATTACCATCATCCCCAAAAACTTTACTGCCTGTTTCCTATATGAGAACATTGTTACATAATATAATATAACCACCAAAATCAGGTAATTAATACTGATATATTACTACCATCTAATTCTCAGAGCTCATTCAAATTTCACCAACTATCTCAATAATGTTCTTTTACAGTCAATTCATTTGAGAATCATGGATTGTGCATTCAGAATCATGGATTAGTTGGCATGTGTCTATAGTCTCCTTCAAGCTGAAATACTATTTCAATCTCTCCTTGATTTTCAAGATCTGGATACTTTGAAAAGTTATAGGTTAGTTACTCTGTAGAATGTCCCACAGTTTGAGTTTATCTGAGGTTTCCTCACAATTAGACTCACACTGTGCATCTTTAGCAGGAATGTTATACAAGTGATGCTGTATTCTTCTCACTGCATCTTTGTTGTCAGTTGCTGCAGGTAGATTCTGACTCATGATGGCCCCATGTGGGGATAGTAGAACCACTCTATAGGGTTTTCAGAAGCTGGTTGCCAGGCCTGTCTTCCCAGGTGCCTCTGGGTAGATTTCCAGCCACCAACCTTTTTAACGATGTGTTCCACCCAGGCATCCTGGAAGTTTATTACACTGATAAAAATAACTTTTAGTACTTTTAGGATAGCCTGATGGTAAGATTATAATGAAATTTATTTAGATCCGTTGTATATTTGAAAAACATACACATTAATAATGCAGTGCCTGGCATATAGGAGGCAGGCGCATGAATGATGAACAATGTTTTAATAAACCTTATTGAATAATAAGGAGGCTCTGATGGTTAATGCCTAAGACATTTAACTGCTAACCAGAAGGCTGGTGGTTCAAACCCACCAGCCACTCCTTGGAAGGAAGGTTGAGCAATCTACTTCCGTAGTGATACCGCCTCGGAAATCCAAGTAGGGGTCGCTATGAGTCAGATCTAACTCAACAGCAATGAGTTGGTTTTGGTTTTTATTGAATAATAATGGTTAAAGTCCTATAGTTTTTATAGTTTTGGTGTGTACAATTCTTAGTTATTACAGTCAGTTTAGAGGCATGATTTTTTTTTTTTAATCTAGAGAAAACATACAAACCTACAATTCATTAAAAATGAATTATAATGCCTCTTAAAAGAATGGAAAAAAAGGAATACACATTTGCTATCAAACTACACTGGCATAGAACTCTCCATTTAGGGAGGACATTAAGAGGACAATTTTATGCAAGTTGTTGAAAAATTTGCTTTTCTGAGTTTCTTGCTGGTAATTATGCCAATGAGAGAAGGTGACAAACTGGGAGGCACACACTTTCACTACAAACTATCTTTTTGCTGATAAATGCCCAAGCTATGCATAAACACACCAGCAGAGGGACTCAATATACACCTAAATAAGTAAAAGGAAGCTCACTTCCTTTGTTATTAGTGAATTATATCCAGATTTCAATTAATTCCAGAAAACAAAACACTGGAACCATCAAAATATACTATCACTCATTTCTTCACCACTTCCCTCATAGGCTCACATACCCTTTTTCCCAAGAGTTCATCCCTTCCAAGGTTTCTTACCGCAGTTCCTCTAGGGTTTGTTGAACCTCTCTCAAGGAATCAGCATCAAGGTTATTAATGAGCTCTTTTCGATAACGTATAATGAAGGGAATAGTATTATCATCATTAAAGAGACGAATGATGTTGGCACAAACCCAAAGTTCAATATTAGTCCTCTCAGATAAAACCTGAAAATTAAAGATACTTAGTGATTTAAGATCTTGAATAGTAAGCATCTATCTGTAGTATAACGTATAGTTTAAAAGACAGAAACAAATCATCTTCTCCAGTCACTCAAAAACTGCACCCTCTCTTCACTTACTATCTCATTAACGGATATTTCCCATTCACAATAGTAAAAACTCTACTATCTGATTATTTTTCACATTAATGACATACATCTGGTAGTAATGACTGCCAAGGTATGAGAATAACACTGGCTGTGATGGTTAAGGTTAAACGTCTACTTAGCTGGGCCATGATTCTCAGTAGTTTGGCAGTTACATAATTATGTGATTTGGCCATTATGTAATGACATGATTTGGCAGTTACATAATGACAAAATCTGGCAATTATGTAAAGATATAATCTGGTAGTTATGTAAAGATGCAGTCATTTCCATTTTGTGATCTGACGTGGTCATCCTTCATTTTCACATAATGTCCATTTTTACCAAACAGTGTGCTCTTTGGAACCTAACCATGTCAATAAATGAGAAGAGGGTGTACTTGCTGTGGTTTGAAAAAACAAAACTATACAAAATATATATATTTATTCACAATCATAATAGTCAAGTAATCATTTCACTAATTCAGTAAAATCCAACAGAGACCACTCCACATCATTCAAATTCTACAGGGCTCAATGAGATACTTTTCATCCCTCAGGTGGGCAGCAAATGTCAAAGAGCTCGTTATTCACTATGTTGGCATAAATACAAGAAAAAGACACCTTGGATCACTGTTAGTGAGAAAGTACATTAGTACATTAGTATAACCCCTGGAAACGAGGAAGTTGGCAATATCTATCAAAACCACAATGAATAAATTCTTTGGTCCAGCAATTCTACTTCTGGGAACTTATCCTGTATAATTCATATCTTTGGGAAATATTATTAATAATGACTTTTTTAAAGAACTATTTCTAGCATAGTAAAGGTATCAAAAAAAATTAAGTCTACCAGTGGGAAACTAATCAGTAAATAAATTAGGATATGCCCATATAGCAGAACACCATGCAACCATTTAAAAATATGAAGCAGCTATGTATGAACTGCTATGAAATGATTCATAGAACCTGGTGACATAGCTTACTTCCAGAAAGGGTAACTAGTTGGCTGAGGGTCAAGATAGGAAGACCTCCTATCTCTTTCAAATTTTGTATCATGCACATTTATAATATATTCAAAATAATTAATTCTTTTAAAAAAATTTATAGGTCTAAGAAAATGTACAAGGAGCTCTGGTAGCGTAGTGCCTAAAGCACTTGACTGCTAACCAGAAGGCTGGCGGTTCAAACCCACCAGCCACTTCTCGGAAGGAAGATGGGGCAATCTACTTCCGTAGTGATACTGCCTCGGAAACCCAAGGAGGGGTTGCTATGAGTCAGGTCTGACTCAACAGCACATAACAACAACAAAAACCCCTCATCAACACAGATGCAAAAATTCTCAAAAAAATACTCCAGAACAGAATCCAACAACATATAAAGAAAACTATACAACATGACCAAGTGGTATTTGGTCCAGACATGCCAGGATGGCTCAACTTTAGAAAATGTATTAATGCATTAATTATATAATAGAAAAAAGAAAAACATGATCACAATAGGCTCAAGAAAAGACATTTTTATCAAATCTAACTCTCACTCTTGATAAAATATAAGACTACTATTAGGGAAATTCCTCATAATTAAGGGCATCAATGAAAAACCAACATTCAACACTGTACTGGAGGGAGAAAGACTGGAGGGAGAAAGACTGCAAGCATTCCCCTTTACAAATGCAATGAGACAAGAATGCCTGCTATCACCACTTCTATTCAACAATGTACTGAAAGTGTTAGCCAGAGCAATAAGGAAAGAAAAAGAAATAAAAGTGCAGTCTAGTAAATTACATAATATGGCTTTTCTAGCCAGAGTCTTTGTAAACTCCGTAGTGGAATTTGCCATGAGCAACTGAGTAGCTCCTGATTATTAAAGTTATCCACCTGGGGTATTTCTGTTGAGAGTGGCATGAAACAATCTTCTGGGAAATATGCTCTCTCTCAGGTGTACAGAATTCTAATGTTGGGACTGGTTAGTTTGGCCACTCTGCCAGGCTGCAAAGGAGCCCTCCTAGAGGCAGAAGGAGTCTCTCACTGCCAGCTGAGATATGTGAGAGACACACACTGCTGAGAGACAGATGCAAGAGACATGCCCTGCTGACAGAGGCACCAAGAGATATGTACTGCTGAGAGAGAGAAAGACACCAAGAGACACACACTGCTGGGAGAGAGACTGTCAGCTGAGAGATGGCGGGCTGAGAGAGACTGAGTGTGTTTCTGAACTTGAATTGTAGCCAGTTGCTTCCCTAATAAACCCCATAATCTGTGAGTTTTGTGTGGCCACTGTAGCGAATTATTGAATCCAGCAGAGAGGTGGTGGATGCTGTGGGAGGAACAGTTGGTGAAAGGGCTGGAGGGAGGCAGCACATCTGGCCTCGCAGTAATAGGCCTTGGGCTATTGATGGTGATTCTGTCTTCCTCTTGTGGGGTTAGAGAAGGTCAGAAGATGCCGCCTCTTTTCCTCTTTGGCAGTTGCTAGAAGGCTGGCAGTTCAAACCCACCAGCCACTCCCCGGAAAGAAGATGGGGCAATCTACTTCCGTAGTGATACTGCCCTGGAAACCCAAGGAGGGGTCGCTATGGGTCGGGTCTGACTCAACGGCACATAACAACAACATCAGAAGCAGTAGGATTCGTTGCAGTGACTCCAGACTCACAGAAGCATTGGACTTTGTAAAAGAAAGAAGGAAGGGGCCTGGGAAGTGAAATTTTGGATTATGAGGTGGTTACTTTGGTTGGTGTTATCTATTAAAGGAGATAACTGATCTAGAGGCTCTGGCTTTTGGTTACACCCAGCCAAAGACCCAAGGCCATATACATAGAATGGGAAGATCATCAAGGTTAAAGCATGAAACCGCATGTCTTAAAAAGGATTGTTTTGGATTATGTATTTATCTGAATGTACTTTGGATACATTCCCTGGAGAAGGATGTCATGCTTGGTAGGGTGGAGGGTCGACGAAAGAGGGGGAGGCCTTCAGGGAGATGGATTGATACAGTGGCTGCGATGATGGGCTCGAGTATAGCAGGGATTGTGGGGCTGGCGCGGGATCGGGCAGTGTTTCGTTCTGCTGTGCATGGGGTCGCTATGAGTCGGAAATGACTCGACGGCACTTAACAACAACAACAACAACAACAACTTTGGATACTCCATGTTCTCTTACTTAGTTGAATTTAGACATGATTATGGGGTATGGGTAACAGAGAGCCTTCAGCTGATACATGATTGCATATGTTAAAAGGGGAAATAGAATTTGCCTAGCAGAAACACAGGCTTCTGTTTCAAACCCTGTGTGTAGATTATAGAGAGCTTAGGTAGAACACCTGAGCCCCACTCAGAACCTGAGTGAGGATATTTGCATTTGAAAAGACCCAACCAAAACTACTGCAAGAAAAGAAGACCTGCATTTGAAGACAGGACCTGGGGGGGGGGGTGGCTTTTTTCATTTCAAGCAAGCAGTTAGGCTTTCTGTGCATCAAGGCAGGAAAGTCATGGTCCATGACAGAAATTCCTTCCAGGACTGAAAGTTAAAGGAAGCAAGTGAGTAGTAGGCTTGTATGCTACTCGTTTGTGACCAGCTGGGTCCACTTAGTGGAAATGTGGGAAGAGCACCAATGAAAAAACAGGCTGAGTTTGGTATTCTTTGACCTAGGCCATGGAGTCTGCAGATGAGAGGAAGGGATGGCTGGTATGAAGTACAAGGAGTTATGAGCCTAGGGGCACTGAAATAGTAGTCCCTGAGGACTAAGGATGTGAGAGAAGGTGTTGGCTGGTCTGAAGTGAAGGGAAGAATGTGACTCCCAAACTTGGCAGCTGGAACCCATGCCCTAGCTGGGATGGCCAGGGCTGAGCTGACCAGAAACCGACCAAACGAAGATGAAGATGTTTGACAGTAAGCTGGTGTTAAGTTGCTGCAATTTTATGGCTTGTGCTGGGCTGGACTTGGCTTGTTTATGGATGCAGATGCCCAAAGTTTCCAAGCAGAATAAAGATTCTCCAGAGAAAAGAACATGCTTGTCTCCTCAGAGTACTGGTTTGATGTTGTTGTTGTTGTTGTTGTTATGTGCTGTCAAGTCAGCCCCAAATCATAGCGACCTCTCCTTGGGTTTCCAAGGCAGTATCACTACGGAAGTAGATTGCCCAACCTTCCTTCCGAGGAGTGGCTGGTTTGATAGGGATGGGCAAATTAGAATTGGCTATCTAAAATGGAGGAAGATAAAAGCATGAAGTGGCTGGCTTACACACTTTCATGGGTGTGGTTATTCTTAACCTGAAGATGAAGGGGATGTTTATTTTTGAAATATAAATGGGATAATGGCTAGAAAATCCAGGGATGGTTTGCAGTGTAGGAAATTACATAATATGGATTTTCTAGACACAGTCTTTGTAAACTCCACGGTGGAATTTGCCGTGAGCAACTGAGTAGCTCCTGATTATTAAAGTTACCCACCGAGGGTATTTCTGCTGAGAGTGGCACAAAGCAATCTCTCTCAGGTGTATAAAATTCTAACGTTGGGATTGGTTAGTTTGGCCACTCTGTCAGACTCAAAAAGAGCCCTCCTAGAGGCAGGAGGGAATCTCTCACTGCTGGCTGAGAGATATGAGAGACACAGAATGCTGAGAGAAAGACGCAAAAGACATGCATTGCTGGGAAAGAGATGCAAGAGACACACACTGCTGAGAGAGACACCAGGAGACACGCACTGCTAAGAGAGACACAAAGAGACATATACTGCTGAGAAACAAACTAAGAGAGAGTGTCAGCTAAGAGACGGCAATCTGAGAGAGACTGAGTGTGTTTCTGAACTTGAATTGTAGCCTGTTACTTCCCTAATAAACGCCACAATCTGTGAGTTCTGTGTGGCC